TCGCGCGCGCCATCGAATATCGACTAGATTTCCGTCCCACCACGCAACACAGGTACGGATGTTGGAGACGAGCCAGTCCTTTCGCCTCGGGAGCTCTGACTTGGAAGATCCGCCTTCCTGTTTTCGCCTCGATCCCCGCTTCTCTGCACCCGATTTGGATCGGCCAGGAGTCGTTCGAGAGCTCTCGACTTGCTTGTTCTGGGCTGTGTCAATCGGCTCGGCCTCGGTCCTGTGGGCTGCGCTAGCGGCGTATTTGTCTGATTTATTGCGCTGTCCACATATTCCCGCTCCGTAGCTTCGGGCCCAGGCTCGTCGCTAGCCGTCTTTCGCGATCCGCTCTCAGCTAGCTCCAAAGAGCTCCCCAGAGCCATTCTTGGAAGCGGCCCCTCTACAATATGAAATCGCCGCGCAGGCTTCGGTAGGATCCGCTGAGAACTCACAGGAAGTTTGTATTTGCTGTTAAGAGTTATTGCGTAGACTTTACACTTGTGTGTCGTTTATCGTAGTCTGGAAGGAAGAACTGTACGGCCGAAGCGTGTTCCGTGATGGGAGTTCGAGTTTGTGTCGTGAGATGATTGGTGTGTAGGAGAGGGAACAGAGGTGTCACACATGGGCTGAGTAGGAGGCGTACTTGGGAAGGTGGGCTGGTCGGTGACAGGAATGTCTGTGGGTTTCGGTAGTGGTCGCGTCTCGATGTAAGCAGACTTCAAGCGGTCAATACTCACATTATCCTGATAAGCATTTCTATCTAGCACGAAATACTTTTCTTCCTGGGCAATAACGTTAAAGGGGCCTTCGTAAGGCGATGTCAAAGCTTTACGGACGAAATGGACACGCAGGAGAACGAATGGACAATACGCAAATCCGGGTGTATCTGTTGACTCCGAAGACTGATTCGAGGTGGTGTTAGACGAATTGAACTGAAGTGTTGCCTCAGGCGTGTGACGTACGAAGTCGGATCAACTTCTCTAGTAACCCTTGAGTCTAGCTCCATTTCTCCAGGAAGTCTGAGAGTAGTGCCAAATACCAATTCAGTGGGACAACAGCTAATGTTTTCTTTAATGGTGTTACGAATACCAAGCAAGGTAATAGGTAGACGTTCTGACCATTGTGAGTTCGACTGCGAAGCAGTAGTTGCGGTTTTAAGTTGGCGATGGAAACGGTTAACGATGCCATTAACAGCTGGGTGATAGGCGGTTGTCCGTAGTTGGAAACAACCGAGCAAGCGGTTCATGTCACAAAACAAGACTCTATCGGTATTAATAGTGGCTGGGGTGCCAAAGACAGAAATCCAATTCTCGATGAATGTTCGCGCCACAGTTTCTGTAGAAGCATCAGGTAAAGGCACGGCAAGTAGCCAACGGGTATAACGATCAACACATGTCAATAAGTAGACAAAACCGTTGAATGGAGGCAAGGGTCCAACGATGTCAAGATGAACATGTTTGAAACGAGCGTCGGGAAGAGAAAACGTGCCGGGGACGATAACCGTATGACGGTGGATCTTGTTGGTTTGGCAAGTGATACAATGGTTAGCCCATTACTGGATCTCGGAGCGCATGTTGTGCCAAATGAAGCGATCAGTAATCAGCTTGACGGTGGCTCGGATGCTCGGGTATGAGATTCCATGCAGGTGCTCAAAGACGATTCGGCAGTATTGCTGAGGGACAAAAGGCCGGGGCTTGGTGGTAGAAATATTACAGTAAATTTAGGACTCTGAGTTAAGGATTGGCAACTGTGATATTTTGACAGATGGACTCGATCTCAGTTGTACAAGCTCAGGATCTCCTTCCTGATGAGCTGCTATGTCTTCTAAGTTGATCGTCTGCCGTGAAACTTCGTGAAGACGCATACGCGACATGGTATCGGTGACAACGTTATTGGCAGCATCAACATGGCCAATGTCAGTCGAAAACTGTGAGGCATAATCGAAATGACGAATTTCTCTGGGGGAGAAACGGTCGGATAAACCACGGAAAGTAAAGGCAAGTGGTTTATGATCTGTAAGAATGGTAAACGTGCGACCTTCAAGCAGGTGCCAAAAATGTTTGAAAGCTAGGTAGATAGCTAAAATTTCTCGACCAAAGGTGCTGTACCACATCTGTGCTGACTGAAGTTTGTGAGAGAAAAAGGATAGCGACTCTGGTTGACCGTTGATTACCTGCTGGAGAACAACCCCAACGGCAGTTTGAGATGCATCAGTCTTGAGGATGAGAGTGGTATCAACATCAGTCCTCAAATGACTAAGCGCGCTAGCGGTGGACAACGCCTGTTTGATCTTGTCGAATGCATCAATTGCTTCTTGATTGGGCTCGAATTTTCGTGACCTGCCTTTAGGTAAATCGGTCAATGACTGGATAGCCCAGAGCAATCTGGCATGAAGCGGCTGTAGTAATTCACTATGCCGAGAAAAGGACGGAGACTTTTGAAAAATTGAGGCATGGACTAGTCTGCAATCGTTTGTGCTTTCTCGGAGATTGGACTAATGTCGTTGCAATCAATTCGGTGGCCCAAAAAAATCAACAGAACTTTGGCCAAAAACACATTTGTCAACATGGATCGTAACACCATACTGAGCAAAGCGTTCGTAGATTGATCGAAGATGTGACAGATGTTCACCATGATTGGAACTGACCAAAAGACTATTGTCAACGTAGGCGTAGACGAAGTCGATCCCCCTAAGGACTTGATCGATAAACCTTTGGAAAGTCTGTGCGGCATTTCGTAGACCAAATGGCATGCGAACGAATTCATAATTACCAAAATGGTGTGGTTATGGTGGTCTTCGGAATTTCGTCAAGAGCAACCGGAATTTGGTAGTATGCACGCACCAAGTAAATCTTGGAGAAAATTGTTCTTCCATGTAAACCAGTCGAAAAATCATGGATGTGCTGAGTCGGATATCTAACGGGGACGATGAGATTGTTTAGTGCCCGGGAATCTCCGCAAGGTCTCCAGTTGCCACTGGACTTTTTGGGAACCATATGAAGCGGGGAGGACCATGGGCTATTGGAAAGACGAACGATACCGTGACGAAGCATATGTTCGAACTCTGTCTTGGCAGTAGCGAGCTTGTCTGGTGGTAATCGTCTAGGTCGGGCGGTTATAGGCGATCCACGCGTTAAAATGCGGTGCGTAATTTCGTGCTTAGGCTCAGGAAAGTCATTAGACGGTTGTTAAATAGCAGGAAACTGCAGCAATAGTTCGATGAACACATTATCAGCGGGCATTGCCAAGCGAAGACCGATCGAACTGATCGAAGTGACTTTACCCGAAACGGACAAGGATGTCAAACTATCGCATAGTTTACGGTTACACAGGTCCACGATCACGCCGAACTTGGTGAGGAAATCAACACCAAGGATGGGGCGTTGGACGTCAGTGATGAGAAAAAGAATGGAAAAACTTAAACGGAGCTCAAGGTTGAGAGTCAGCATTTTCTGGCCGTATGTATGGATCTTGCAATATCAGTCCGGTTGGAAGTAGGTTGCGTTTTTCTGCAACACGAGGAATAACGCTGACCTCGGCACCGGTGTCAACCAAGAAGTACGAATTGGTTGAGGAATCGTAGACGTAAAGTAGGCAACTATACGATTGGCCAGAGGCAGCTGTGGCCATCACTTGTTGGTGTGGAGGTTTCCTTGCTGCAGTTTATGGAATGCCTCCGGGTCATTACAACCAGGTCGACAATCCCTTGCATCATCGCCAAAACGGTGATGGTACCAACAGAAATGATGTGTCGAACTCCTGGTGGGACTACATCTACTTCGAGAGGAGCGTCTAGGGCTTCTACCATGGTAGTGATTAATGCTCGAGACAGCGAGCTCCAGCTTCGATAAACTCTCGGAAATGACTTCAATCGGGTCAGTATTATGATCAGTGTTAGCGGTCGACTCAACTGAGTGACATGCTTCGTTTTTATGTAAGCACTCACGAACTTTGTCTGCTGTCTCGGCAAGCTTGTCCAAAGACAAATCATCTGCGAACGCAGCGAGAAGATCTGGGGTTTTCGCTAGAAGACATTTAGTCCAGAGCTGCCGCAGAATTGTGTCATCGATCTTAGAGGAACCGACCAACGTACGCATGTGCCTGAGGAGTTGTGACACCGTACGATCGTCTAGTTCAACACCGAAGTGTAACTGTCGAAGTCTAGCTTCGTCGGAAGCCGTGGTGAACTTTAATATGGCGGCTTTCAGCATATCGTAAGGTGCGTCAGCCGGAATCGGATCGAGCAAATCTATAAGGTCAGTTGCGATGTGAGTAGGAAGCTGGGCAGTGACATGTGCGAACAATAATGCCTGCGAATTAATGCGACATATGCGAAAAAGAGCTTCCAATGGTAAAAAGCACACATGAGGATTAGATAAAATCCAAGGCAGGTAAGGAGACACCAACAAATTTTCTGAATTGTCAGTGCAGGAAACGTGGTTCGACATAGTAAAGGCACAAAAAGGAGTTCTGAGCTCTCAAGAAAAAGAGAACGAGGTCACCAAATATGTAGTGGAAAGACCAAACTAAGAGGGCTTAACTATATAAAAAGAACTCTCCGTCTATAAATTAAGAATGCTGGACCTGACATTCGGTAAAGCACGACCCTCGGCAAGCCGTCAGTTAGTCGCACAATCCGGTCGGGAAACGGAATTTAGTAGGCACAATAATTCTACGCGGTAGATCCGATGATCGATGTACGAAGCTAGCAGACCGACGATGATCAACAACACAACCCGCGTAGTCGAAACCGGAAGGCGAATCGAAACCCGAAAATGTCTTTTTTTGGTTGTTGGTCAGTTAAAACAAAATTGTACAATAAATAATAGAAATGGGAATAGGAAGGTACAGTTGGAAGAGAAATATGTACAATCGCCACAATCTTATCCACCATCAGACCGACCGAATTCAAGCCCGCAGTCGGGTTCACTCAAGCGAGAGCTTGATGAAACTAACAAAGCATCCAACGTGGCAACAACGGCAAACGTAAAAGAAACAGTTGTTCATCTTACTTGTATTTTCTTGCTCTTGCTCATCGGGGCCTTGTTGTGAAAACGGGATACGGTGTCATGGCTTGAAATGTATTGTATCAGATGAAAATTGCGCAAGCAAAACGGCCGTATCGGAAAAGTAGCTATTTGACCTACTAACAGATGTGTTCCATTCTCTTATGCAGCAGAAATCAGCACAACTAGTATGACAGTTTGTCTTTTCCCTATCTCTTTACCATTCACTTTGAGAGTTGTTTGAGAAAGACTTAGGTTACCTGTCCTGTGCTTCACGCGTATTACATCACCACTATCCGTTGGATGCGTCTTGGTATCGAAATGGTATCTCAGGGAGAGTATCAATGCAACAGTCGACTGAAACACGTTCCAACAAAACAAGGTGTCGCAAACGCTGGACACATTCGCACGGCGTGATTCAGCACACTCATGATCAGAGGCTTGGATGGGAGTTTTAACACGTCCATAAAAAATACCTCCCTTGGAGTTGTGTCGGTTGTTTCCTACACCAAGTGTGGTGATTGTGGTGACATTCAATCAAGTAGCTCCAGGCTATTCGATGAGGCATCGGACGATTGATAGTAAAGCTCATCAGAGAACAATAGGAATAACTTTACTATGCTCAAACTTTCGCCACAGAGCAATGGAACAATGGTTTTATACGGGTAAAAATGCTAAAGCTTAACAGGTCCCGTATGACTGTCATGGTGAAACTTCAGAATATAGAAAAATTGTCAGCAAAATTGGGTTTACACCGGTGAACTCACTGAGGTATACGTAGTATTAGCTGCAAACAAGTGGGCGAGGTAGGACCACAAGCCTAGCGGTGAGCCACACTTCGAAACACAAAACTAATAATTTCGAACGTGGTTAGTGATTCGCCGCACGTCTGGTAGTTTGCCGATGTAGTCCACTTGCACTACAGCTTGAGAATGCACGCAAATTTCAAAACGCTTCCCGTAGTTATGTAATGTATGTGTGTTGAGTCACTTCTCACTCGCTGCTAGTACGATCCTAGTGCATCAATTGCGTTGGACTAGCATTTGAAGCATCTGTAACTATAAACACCACAATTTATCCGCTGCCTAACTGCTTTATGCTTCTCCTTTTTCTCGAAAACACGACCGCACCGCGTGCCGCTGATTAAGAAACGCGTCTCCAGTCCCTACTACAACCACTTCTCCGGCTTCCTACAGGGTCCGATGACAGTGCATTGACCTCATTACACACGGAGGTCCTGTGATAAATCTAACGTCAACCCTGCATCGGACTTATGCTCCAGTCTGTCTTATTGACATGTTAGGAGGTTCATTACTAAGAGGTGGTCTCGCGCTGTCCATTGTGATTGCATTGAACTCACCTCTTTCGGTGTAAACGGTAAAAAGAAGCATTCCAACATTCTCAGTAGACTGAAACAGAGTTGACCGTCGGTTGTCGGAATGACTTCCTTCGTTTCCGTTCTCACGAACTGAAGAGTCTCCTACAAAACAAAATATGCGTGAGATTACCCAAAGAATGTCGAAATATTCGCAGTTACGGAAAATGGTTGTGTATCCATGGGTTCATGCGCCCGCCGAGTTTGGTAATTGGACTGCAAACGTTTTATCACCAAAACGGGGTGACCTCGTCAACGTTTCCAGTCATTCCGAATGGTTCTTTATGTATACTCAAAGAAGGAACAGGCCTCAATAGTTTGCGCCTAAAGTTGGAATTGAGCAAAATGCAAATATTCAGCGTCACTCTGTCACGGAAGTGCTGAACGGTCTTAGTTGAACGGGGCAATTACCCTACACATAAGCTTAGTACATCCACCTTATCGGGTGGTGAGTAGCAGAACCGCCAAGGCAGATTTCTGGGTCTTGTCTGTGATAGGTTTAGAGAGGCTTTGTTATCATGGACTGTAGGGTGTACAAATAGGCTTATTCAATTAAAGACTGTTTAATAGGTAACTCGGTGCACGCTCAGCGCTGCCCCAACACTGAGCACGGTTCACGTGAGTGTTCTAAGGGGGCTGTGCGAAAAGTTGCTAACAGGGCCATGTGTGCCTATTACGATTACTTACCTTCATGTAAAGTTCAAACAAGGAGAGCAGTTTTTCTCTGTGAGTGAAGATGGCGTCCGGCAACTTCCTGATCCAGCACTGGACAAACGGATCCAGACCCAGTATGTTCTGATCTAGATAAATCATACCGCACCGACTGACGGTTGCCGGAGAGGCCACCGCCAAGTCTGCCACCTCGAACATCATCGTCATCCCCTCCGTTAGTTTGATGATTTCACCACTGCTCAAACAAAGCTTTTTGTTGTCGTCTAGCACTGTGTTCATGTTTTCAATCCAAACTGCATCTACTGGGCCGTCGAAAACAAACCAGCGTTTGTCCTCATCTGCGGCACTCACTCCCTGGCGGATAAGGGTGCTCAAAATTCCATCTGTCCACTCGTGCGTAAGCAGGTCAAACTCGCCGTACAGCTGACCCATCGTGATGGACTTGGGATTCAAAACGTAAGTGTGCACTGTTTGGAAAAACCCTCCATCGGGCGATCTCTTCCCTCGCAATGAAGTAAGTGCGTTTTGGAGAACTTGGTAGCACTAAAAAGAAAGATATCACAGTAAGCAGTTGTTCAGTTTATGCGATTATTTCAATTGGTAAAAACCTGTTAGATACAGTCTCTTCCTAAGTTTTGCCCCAAATCTTTCGCAAGTGATGCACCATCGCAATGAGGCCTACACCATGGTGCTGCAAGGTTTTGTGAGCCTACATGCAGAAGACTACAGGAAGCTGCCACACACTGTGGTAAACGAATTTCATTCAGACTCTATTTCTTCTCTCCTTGTAAACGTTGTGATTGAAGTGATCATGAGTGCTTTATCTTTCCTGCTCCTTTTAGAGAGGTGATCGACTAACAGAATTAGAGTGCATCGACTATATATTTCCTCTAGAGTGGAACACAGAAAAGGCACAAATGCCGCTGAGTAGAATTATGCAAGGTAATGCTTTCCTCGGCATGTGGTTCGCAAGTAGAAAGCGTAAAATACTACTGCCGAGGCATCACCGGTTCCCATGGTGACCGGACAGGCAATCAAATTGGTTGATCGGCTTTCGTATCTAAGTAACTGTGTTACGCCGACTGAGCAGATCACCGAACAGGTTACGGTGCGCACCGCCAATGTATGTGAAGTGTGCGAAAGTAAGCAACAACAACAATGAAGACTAGATCTTCGCCTATCGGAGACTAGCTAGTTTGAGCTAGCATAACTCAATGGAAAAATCGCTGGTGTCACTATGCAGATTCTCTCTGCTTGCTATTAACATGCTCAGTTGGCGCTGACGGCGATTTTATTCTAACCTTTTTGTCCGTATGGTATTAATCTATTAGTAGATTACCTCGTCTGCTTTTACTTTATTATCGCAGTACACATATGCATAGTAATTTCATTTACTGCATCTCGTTGCTCTGATCAGAGATGAACGGAATAATTGAATCGTAGCATCAGGGGGTAGAGCTAGATCCGAACAGATAGGTTTGCTTATCAGAGATAACACCGAAAACCAACCTTTGTCTTCCCAGAGCCAGTGGGTCCAATGAGCATAAGACCATGTCGAACCACGGTCGTCTCGTAGAGTTGAATGCATTTGTGTAGGAACGCTGACCATTGAAGAAAAGCGCAATATCACAGCATTGATCATTTGTAATAAAATAATAAATAATATCAGCTGTACGCCGTAACGGCGCTTCGCTGTCGTGGTACCACTACCAGTCGCACGCGGGCTCAGTATACCGCGAGGACACCTACCCCTACGCGGACTCGAACTCGCGCCGCAAGATCACGAGACAAGCTCGTTACCTCTAGGCTGACTTGGTCAAGTTTAAGCACCGGAAAACAGAGTTGAATGTTTTTTTATCTACATGCATTGAGTAAAATATGTCGCACCTCTACCTGACGAGTCCAAATCAGGACGAAACCGGTCGGTTATGGAGTGCAGTGTTGCTGAGAGAGCACAGCTCCGAAACTCTTCACTATGTTTTTACATATCGACACAATATACAGCCATTCCACAATATACTTAAACTAAGGTGGGCTTGGTTTTATCTATGAAGCGCTTAGAAAACACAAATTCGTAGTAGATGCACTCAGATCGACTATCAAAACAACCGATTGTGCGGTTCAAAGCGTCGAAACCTCGGTAGCGCGAAATGCCAATTGCATTGCGACGAGTTATGAAATGTGAGGCCATCAGAAATTAACACGATTTCTCAGTGTGCGAATAGACTATCGTAGCCACACTGGTAACATGTAGTTGCGGACCAGCCTTAGGGCTACGGCACGAATATGTCGGAACTTGGCGTAGTGATGCAAAACGTAGAGTGGTAAGCTGCGGTACAGAGCACATTAATTGACGGTGCACAAACGGATGTTTCCCGTAAGGTTGCAATGAGCATTATCTCGGCTGTGTCCTTGTGACTTTTGTGATCCATAATTCAACTCTCTTTGTAGCTAATCCAGCTGACGCCGTAGTCCGACTACGTGAGGATAGCCGTTCATAGCCGCAAAATATGAGCTTACCATCGATATCAGTGCATCAATACTTTGAACTGACACTTTGTTGCCAAACAATGACCGTGAGTTAGGAGATGAGAATTGCTAATGTTGCGAAGAAGGATCCAGTGGAAAGTAATGCCCAGAATAAACTTTCAAGGTAAAGACGCCCACACCATGTCAACAACACGGTCACAAACGACTAACCAAATGTAAGGCCTCATTCTTGAGACAAATTTCATGCGGCTTCCTATGCCATACTTCAACCCCACCGCGTGGACAACTAAGTGTCGGATCTGCTTCTAACGGGTAAGCCAATTAGGAGTCGACAGCAAATGTATCGTTGATGCTGATCGCGTGCCGTATTCCGTGTAATCTGCATCCGAGCTCTGTCTTCCAGACGCAGAGGACGTTCAGAGTACGGCATGGCAACTGGAGTCCTGTACTCCTCCGGTTCCTCACTGATGCATCCTCAGCTGGCCGATCACGTGTTACTTCGACCGACGGTGCAGTGTATGCATGTGCGTGCATGTGTGGATATGTGCATCAATACGTGTATGTGATTCGTTCCTTACCGTCGCTGTGCTCAGAAGTGGAGTGGAGGTCAAGCGATGGCTTGATCAAGAGGAATGAAGACCCTTAGTTCGAAGTTGGCCTCGGTTGGCGGCTCTCGGCTCCCTGGTTGGGACCCGAAAAATGATGAACATGTTTGGCTGAATACACTTGTTGATATGGAGTTTGTGTTTAGTTTCTTTGTCCCTCCCTTTCTTGTATAGCCTCCTCTTCCAACCACGATTTCATTTCTGACAGATAATATAACTTTATTGCTGGACAAGAACCGGATGCAAGCTCTCCGGAACGATGTCCATCCGGGGCTCAGTTGCGTACCACTGTTGCGCCTTTTTTTATCTTTCTCGTGTACTGCGGCACAGTAGCTGAGATATTTCCCACCTCTAGCTAATGTAATGTAATGAATGAATGAATCTCACTGCGCTCAATGACCCATACTCTCCCTTACTAGTCAAACGCTGCCGTGGAATTCAACGCATACGTCCGCTCTCTTACCTGATGAACACTTGTGTATGCCTAATTGATCATATGATATAATTCCATTACTCCTTATTTTTACAACTTCCTAACTTGCTACTCACAACTAGCTCCAACTTGTTTTACACCAGTCTAGTAGGTAAGATTGTGTATTACTCCTCTGATTTTGATTGGTGAATAACTGTTTCCTCCTTTTCATACTCCCTCCTCCCCCCCCCCCCATCAAATCGCTGCCATCACGGCGCCACCAAGATGCACCGAAAACAACCACATGAGAATGCCCGCGAACTGCTCGCACACGGCGACAAACGTCCCAAGTGAAAATATTCGCAAAAACATCCCTATTTTAACCCAGCAAAAATCCAAATCATTGACAGCCTCGCATACCTAAGCACGTTGCAATGTAAGTATGATCCGTCCCTTTGTGGGCTCGGTTTCTCGGTACCACGAGAAATATACCTTATTATTATTATTATTATTATTATTATTATTATTATTATTATTATTATTATTATTATTATTTAGTTAGTTAGTTAGTTCTGATTTCAATAGGGTGTAAAACTCACTAAGAACAAACACACCTCAACTGTGTGCCTGAAGTTTAGCAACCGAGTAGGTAGCACTTTTTGATTTTGTAGACCAGCTTAACCGAAACTACTTGCTACGCTGTTGTGTACTTTTTCGCTTCCAATCCGCTCCTCCCATTTGGTGTGACAGAAGGATTTGAACATGTCTGAGGTTCCGCGCCAAAAAGAACAACACCTACACTTGTCTATACGATCTTTCATTCCGAGGTACATAGAGTGTAATGCAAGGGATTTTGGAACTCCCAAACAAGCAAATCCCGTAGCTCGTATACTAGCGTAAACTGCGGCACACTCGATACTGCATATGCATGTGTACGTTCAGCAATCCCAGTTTCCTCCTCTTTTGCTTAGTCGACAATGTTGAAGGCGTGTAACGTGTGCTTAAATGTAAATCACTCGTTGGTGATGACGCATACCCCTCGTGAGCTCCGCTGGGACACACAATCAAGAGACGTCAAAAGGACGGTCATAAACAGGATCTTCGGGATGCTAAACGTGCCCCAGAGCCTAACTTTTCCTTAGCACATGTACACAGCCTCAGCAGAGCCAAACCGTTTTGTGCGCCCACACCGAAGTATGTCGAGGCATCTTTACGTACACTCACTGCCGGCGGTCTGTCCACTTAATGTCTGTCGACGTGACAGCTCAACATTTGGACTGACTGTCCGATTCTATTACTGAGGTATTAGTACACTCTAAGCTAAATAACAGATAACTTGATTTTCACCGATGGCATAGCGCTGTGTGACATTAGACGCTCACCTTCTACATCGAGCAATCCCATTTTCCCACACGAAGTCTTCAACGCTAGAGACAAATCACCATGGTCCACAGGAGTTTCCCTGAAACACCAGAGGGAGTAGTGAAATAGACCTGGTAGACAACATCGATTTGCCTAACGAAAATAAAGGCTGATGCGCTTAAACAGAGAACAGGTAAATGATAATGCAAACTGACTTACATGAGGAATCTGGAACAGATAATTTAGCGCATGGTAAACAGATATGGTCAGACACACGTTGGTTAATAAAGATTTTCACATTCAAATTTGATGTAATTGCGACGCACATACGGTTTACGAGGTAACGCTTGCTCCAGTTTATTGAGCACAGCAGATCGGACCCAAGCGTCGGTCTGACTAATTGACTTGGTTGGTTATCTGGCTTAAAAATAGTGACTTTTGACCGTAAGTGGTGGTTCCTAGAGCAGTAAAGCTGTCGCTGTACAACATGTCCCTGGGTGACCTCGTCTGTACTTTTCTACGTCTAGCTTGAGCTTTCGTGTGTAAAATATGCCTTCGATTCGTGACTGCAGCGTATTGCTAGGCGCCTGATAGGGCTATGCTAGAGGTGCTACCATAATCGCACTTGTCCGACCAAAGCTAAAAGGTCAGTGGGTTAATGCAGAATTGGAGCGTCGAGGTATTACTGAAGGACAACTTGGTTCGGCTCCAACGTCCCCACTGCCCGCTTTGTCTCTGGCGAGCTTGCCTCTCATACAGTTATCTGTACAGATAAAATTGATGCACTGGCCTTAAGCCGTAGTTCGAGACCCAAGTGTTATCAGTCTCTTCCGTAGCGTCAGAATACCGTTGAATTTTTAACAGACACTGAGTCAGTGGATTTGGTAGATGAAGTGGTTCATCACTTTTGGGGTTCGTGATTGGCCTTTGTGGCTCACGATGACTGGATTATAACCCAGTGACATTCATTTGATTTTCAGGTTTCGGAGCTCCCGATTTGTGCCTGGGATGGTTACAGACAATCTCAATTGTGGTCACGGTTGATTTTGAAGTCGAGTTTTGTCAATCCAATTACTGGGACCGTCACGGAAGTGGAGGGTTTCGGTGTTGCTCCCCCCCATCCCTGCACCACATGACGCGTTTCGTCTTTGTTTGGACTCACTTAAGCAATGAGGACCTAACAGCGTCCGACCTCTGTGTCCTATTGTTTGATGATAGACCACATACGTCTTGCGCGGAGCTGCGTTCGGTCTTCAATAAATGCTGCAACTTCGATTCATCTAACCTGCTCCTAATAAGTGGTACTCAGTTAAGATGCCTATTGGAGGACCGTTGATTCGTTACTGGATCGCAATACACCTTTACTCACATCGTGCACTAAGGGACAGAGAAGAGTAAACTGCGTCTAATGGCGTAGGCTTGGAGTCTGCTTGTAGCCCATGCAAACCATAGCCCCAAGTACGTGGTATCGGGTGTGACAGCGAGGTATGTGAAGTACACACGGGTGACCCATGCCGTGTGCTTGACCGATCCGATTACCAAGTGCAGACAGTCCAAATTTTGGTAATGACCACTTACCTGATGTTGGGGAACAGGTCGGACACTATGCCATTGAACAGCTTCAGGTCATCGGATAAGAACTTGGGCACATTGACATCGCGTATTGCCCGCAAACAGACCAGATCCTATTGGAAAGGAAGATAAGTGGACGCGTGAATTGCATGATATATACAACTCTGTGATCAGATGACCAGAATAGAAGAAAACAGATTGTCCGTTTTAAGAAGAACGTTTGATGGTATCCGTTGTTTCTACCAAGGATGTTAACCTAAAGAAAGAAAAGAACACATGTTGGCACAAACGGATTATTCGGAGAGGAGAGTTTGATGGTATTTCGCAAGCTATGTTGGCGCAAAGCGGTTAAAAGAGATACAAAATCACCCAGCGTGACCCACCCAACTCTTGCTTTTGTGATCTACCCTTTTCAGCAACATAAACACAATCAGCGTGACTCATTTTTGGAAAACGATTCCACTTCGCATATCAGTCAGTCGCACCTCCTACAATGTTACAGAAAACCAAACACCTCGCACATCAATTGTAAATGATCCACACGTAAAAGTATTAATCGCTTGACTAGTGATTTCTCCCGAACCTGAAGTTTTGGTTGTATCGGAAATTGATGCACGGACATTCGGAGTAACAAGTGTGACCCGCTGGCGACTTACCAATGTCACTAAGGCTCTATTGACTTTTCCCTCCCCCGATACTTTACTAAAACTGGGTTTCTGTAGTATCGGCCAATCCGCGAAGTTCCAATTGGTGCCTTGGTCGTGAGTGATATGACAATTGCACTTCTAGTACCTTAGTACCTTCATTAGTTTAGTTCAAACAATGTGCCTTCGGTGGGGACGGACGGCCTTACCGCGTCACTTTGAATGTCAACACTAAGCAGATCACTTCTATACAGGCTCTACACAGATTCATCTTAGTATGTCCAAAGTAACTGTAATATTGTGTCAACGTCTATCAAGCGATGTATGACATCAAAGTCCCAGACCCCACGTGAAAGTTGGATAAAGTATACTTTGCGCGGACTTTGTCAATTCCATGGTGTCTACCACTGAGCCAATTCATACAAAGTAGAGGTTCAAGTGTCGCTTCCCTAGATGTCTAAAATTTGTATTTTGACAATATCTGTTCCACCATCATGAGTCCAAATTAGGCAGTTCGTCATCTGCGTCTTCTGTGCGTACTAGCGCTATTCGACTGTCACAACTGTAAGAGTTTATCGAGCTTGAGCACAGATGTTCCTATGACTGACCGATATGTAGCCCTACTACGCTCATTTCATTGGCTCTTACTTTTTACCTTCTGGTCATTGTGAAGTAAGAGGCCATCATTAAACGATAACACGTCCTGACTGCATGTTCTGTTGGGTTCCTTGGGCTACGGGCCATTTGTAGCAGTAAAATCAGTTTACAGTGTGTAGTGACACATGACTGGTTACGAGGGCAAATAAGTCCCTGCAATTACAAGGCCTCTTTTCGCCTCTAGTTTTGTAAGGATTGAGTCGAACGGATCAATACGGCACTGCATGAGCGAAAATGGAACAATGAAGATAATGAGCTCCATCACTATCCTATGCATCGTTCTAGTGTACCTAGGGAGGTAGATCACTTGTGGTACAATGAAAACAGTGAGCGTTTTCCAAAGCAGACCGACTTTACTGGACTACATGGTGCATTCAGTCAGCCATGTGAGGAGCACTTACCTCGTCCATTTCAGGACTTAGTCTTTTCAGATTTCCAGCCGCTGATATTACACTTTTCACTGCTCTCATTCCAAAGTCGTAGTGATCCTGTGTGCTCAGCTGTTCCGATGACAATTTAAATGTTGTAACAATCTTTTTCGCCAGAAGACGTGCGTCAGAGAATCCGAAGGAGAACAGCGATATCTCCGCAATCAGCGCATAATCCGGTACCATCATGGCCACTGGTCGGAAAAGGGCCTTCAGGTTATCTGGCAGCTCAGTACGGCCAGCGTAACCTGGATTCATTGTGATGAATACGGCGCACGATGGCTTCAGTACCAATTCGTCTCCTTCAAATATGAAACGTTCCAATCGTTGTTGTTGTGCTTTCTGAATGGTGGTGATTTGCTGTGCGACCACGGACAAAACTTCGATATCGATTCGGTTGAATTCATCAAAGCATGCCCAGGCGCCAGCGGAAGCCAGACCCTTGAAGAACTTGCCCATAGCCATGAAGTCCAATTGATCCGAGCAGTTGAATACCACACACTGAACTGCAAACGCTTTGCCCAGGTCTTTGGTGGTCTCTGTCTTTCCTGTTCCCGCTGGCCCAGCTGGAGCCCCACCGAACTTCAAGTGTAGGGCACCCGTTAACGTCAGATAGCACCTATCCGTCAACGGAGTGATGACAAGTCGCGTTGTGTTGCCAAGATACTCGTAGCCATAATTGAACTCAGCGTTAACCGCACGTAGCTTCAAATCTTCCTGCTCCGTATTCCAATAGTAACGCAGTTGACTAATCCATTCGAAGTCGTTCACGTTCTTCACTCCCTCCTCCATCATTCGAGCCACCACATCACGTGCGTGAACCTCGATCACAATCAGAGCAGACAACGTCATGCGTCCAAGCTTCGTGAGTTCGCCATGTACCAACTGACGTAAGCCATCCAGCTGTTTTAGTAACTTCGGATACAGTTGGGCTAGTGCGCCTGTCGCGATGGCTGAGGTCACTTCGCTTGTCCAATAAGTCTGAGATCCGGCGATCACCACCTGTTGAGGCCAGTTCAAAACCCACTCTGTACGCGGAGTTTTCTGATACGCCACCAAGGATCGGCCAATGATCGCTTTTAACGAGAGACGCATAAGTTTCTCAATCTCCAACATCCATTCTTCCACATTACCAGTTGGAAATGTGCATTGCTCGAAATTCACCACCTCACCTTCAGAAGAGTGCATAGCAGTGATTTCCAGATTCTTTTTGAAGGTGAGCTGAAATGAAGAAAATAGGAATTAAACACTTGAAAGAAGGGTCTCAGTCCGACCGCTGAATGCATACTAGTGTTTAAAGAACATGGGGAGTGTGGTGTGCGTGTTTTTGTCAAACTCGATCTTCCATCACTCTGTAGTACTCCATACTGGAGAAGTGTGCAGAAGGTAGGATGTAAATACAACCCATTTACATTCAATTTACATCTTTAAAACAACATGGTCCCACCCAAAAGCGCCCCTCACCAAAGTACGTGCCCTTGATAGTACAACTGCCGATGGAGCTTAGTACTGCAGAGGTTCAGTTGGACCACAGTCTTCCGGTTGGCAATCCTGTAGACCGATTAGTCACAGCATTAGCATCTAGACCAATCGGTTGCAGCTTTCTCGCTTTTTGCTTGAACGGGAGAACAGCCTATTGTCTTAGAAAACGACCCGTTGGACAACCTTCACAGCGAGCAAAACAAGACAGTTGCATCTAGCAGAAGGCTATGGATGACCTAAGTTGCATCATTCATAGATTCAACCACACACCTCAAATCCTGTATAGATCTGAAGAAGTATGACTGGGATGTATGCAGGTAGGGTTCACGATTGCGTTTGGGCCAGTCTATGGTCCCTCAATAGGCGTATCATCAATATGAAATGTGAAGAACCATGAGTACTGGACTTAAAAAAGCGGTGACTGGGCCATCATCGGATGCATGATGCAACCATTTGTTAAGCATGACACCGGTGCGAATAAATAAATAAGCAAATAAGTTTTTATTCACGACGATGCGAGAAACGCTCGTATCGGCATGATTGGGTGAGTACATGCCTTTATAGAATGCTGATCACATGTAGCTCATTAAAATTAAAATTCAGATCAGATAATGTTTGACTGAATCAAAATCAGATTGGCTGGCTTTTTGCCGTTCTCACATCTAAAACACCTAAATCACAGGAAAGAGTATAATAATAGGGTCATATGCACGTACGCTTGGCTTGTTGTCACAGAACAATCAAACAGTTTGATCAGGTTCTGTATAGTCAACAACCTATTGCTCCGTTTGCGAAATTCTGGTTCAAGGTTGCAGGTGGTTGATTCCACCTGCCTTAGCAACGACATTGGCTTCCTGGGATCTGGAGCTGACGCCGTGGCACCGCATTGAGTGTAACTATACCATTTTCCATTGAAGTTGGACATTCGGGCAAAACATTTACGCCTGGGGGTCAACGAGGTTGCTCCTCCGGGGCAATCAAGTTGAGTCTTCGCTATGCGGAATAGAACCACTCACTGGCATGGTAGGGGCTGTTTCATTGGCCAAGCGCCTTCAGCAAATAGGACCTCAGACGCTTGGCCAATGAAACAGCCCCTACCATGCCAGTGAGTGGTTCTATTCCGCATAGCGAAGACTCAAGTTGATTGCCCCGGAGGAGCAACCTCGTTGACCCCCAGGCGTAAATGTTTTGCCCGAATGTCCAACTTCAATGGGAAATGGTATAGACCGAACATATCACCGAGGTGTACATAGCAAGCGCATGCATTCACAAGTATAACACGATGCAAGCGACAAGCCCCAACGGACGTCTCATCACAACCCCTCAGCACAGGCAGTGGAAATCAGACGATGTGGGTGATATCAGTGTGCTCCTGAAAAACCTAGTGGACCTACACATCCAGTGGCCGTACCACAAGTTGCCTTCGAAAATAGAAAAAGCGAAGGCGATAACCTACACGTCAGCTAGCCGCGGAAACTCAGGAGTATACTGGAGTAGCACTGTTAAATCCTGTGGGACCTCACACGTGGGATGTCACCAGCATTCCACACGTTAGCTGATGAGAAACACCTCAGACGGTGTCGCAATTGCGCATTGGGGATAAGCTGCCCACATGGTAGCGTAGAACGAATTTACCTGATTAATGGATATATCAGTAGGACTTATAACTTAAAGCTAACACTCACTGCGAAGCAAGTAGCTTGTAACGCACTCATTAGGGGTCCCCGAACACCAGATGTACACAGAGCAGTGCGTGTCGACCCCGAAGTCATGAGCACTTCTCGTCCTACGAGGTGCTCAGGGCGAGTGAGAGAACGTGTAGTCTATGTGAACTAAATAATCACGCCAGATGCTACCGCTGGTTTATGAATTCCCTGAAAGTTCTGTATACTACCGCATGTTCGGGGGCCGCACCGAGAGAACCCCTATGCACAGCCTCACAACACTGGGGCATCAACACGGTGAAAAAGTTAAGGCTGGCCACGCGAGTGGGTAACCAAATATCGTGCACCGTTAAAACCAATCAGTAGGCAAGACTTGATCGGACTCCAAAGCCAAGGTAGAGACGACTGGAAGGCAACAGACGTATAGGTGTATCTGTTTCGCATCCAAAGAAGCCGTTGTCGGTCTGTTCCTGACCTTTGTCCCTCCCAATGGGGGTGGGGCACATGGCAGAGAGGGCCTGCACTACAAGACAGTAAATGCATATAATTTGGCAAGTATGAAGGAACTTACCACACAAATGTTGCGGCTCACATTTACAACCTATGCGGAGAAGACTAACTGCCTCACCTAGGATTAACTCGCATGAGGTCCCCCATACACCTCCCAAGGCTCCGAACCGCGTAATCACCTGGGTTCCACTTGCAACAGACTGGTAGCATTTATTGTGCATTGAACTAAATGAGGGCCACTGCTCGAATAACAAAGTCCCCAGAAGAAAACCACGTGGCGTATTGTTGATGTTTGCGGAATCTAGCAGAGAATGCACACATAAAAGAAGTCAAAGGTCGGTTCACTCTGGGACGCCTCACACACCAGTTTACTCAGTTCCTCTCTGGCCGTTCTCATTAGTTGTATTAACAAGGCGAATATAGCTCACATCAGCATGCAGCCTCATCCGTGTGTCATCAAGGCTAATGGGCACGAGACCATAGTATCTCTTAGGCATCTTTGACGCTAGTTCCCATAACCGTCCTGTTCATATGAGCTCTGCATCTCAATTGAGTTCACTGTCACTAAATGAGAGAAGATGACACCCATCACTTTTGAAAATATCTCACTTCAAACCGAGAAAACCAAACATGACCAATTCAGATGAAAACCTGCACCATCCGATAAAATTAGGCAGTAAATTTAAGGAACTATGTAGACACTGGTTCGGAAACTGATAACGCCTGTCCAGGAGTCGTCGGTAGGATTAAAGGTTTCACCTATCAAACTATCTGTCTGAAGAAGCGCTTGCGTCAAAAGAGTAACGTAGCCACAAGACAAGCCTACACAGACCGATATGTATTTTTTAAGCTTCCGAAATCGGCTTGGGTGTTGAGTGCATCCTGTCTGATGACCTCAATAACTCCTCCATGCTGCATGTGATCTAGTGCGCAGCCAGGAGGCTTACACAGTTAGCCTGACATCCTCAAACCGCAACTTCTCCAATGATTATGAAGTTGGTCAGATTTGCACACTAATGGGGGAGGATCGCTATTGAGTTGCACCGATCTTTACTAACCCTGGCTAAGGCGATCGCGACACAGTCAGCGTGTCGCCGAGTGGAGCAAGGGTTCTCGGAGCAACAGCAATGTACTCTGAACTTTTAAGTAGGCGTTATGAGTCGAAGACTGATCGTAACATCTCCGTCCGAAGGGTTCTGTTGTGTCCGCATCTAGTACAGCCACCTCAACAAAGTGGACCAGCTGACTGAAGTTCGGAGAAGTCCCCGGATGTACCACAAGGTCTGATTGTGTGTCCCTCTTCAGCGCAAGATAGGCTAAACTATGAATCTCACAGTTATTGCTCTTTGTTACCCGCTTATTCAACATCGTGTATGGATTACACTTGGCATCGCCAATGTATGGTAACACTCTCGTGTAAACCAGACAACATGATCAAGCTAATTTATAATTTGACATTGATTTTAATCGATGGCATACAAAAATAAACAAAAAAAACTCGCACCTAGCCTTTCCCATAGGATCGAGTCGTGTTGTACAGTAAGTATGGTTAAGGACTTGATTACTCCAGCTTGAGTTATGGTCTAAAACATAAACCGAAGCCTTAATGATCAATTGACGATCAACCCACCTTGGCAATGTTCTCGAAGCATTTCCGCAAATGAGGTTGGACAGCTGTCGGATCCTTGGTCTGCGACAGGATCTCCAACAATTCGTCATCAGACAAGAAGTAAAAGCGTGGAAATGCCTGGCGCTTGGTTTCCAAATACTCGCTCAACCCTTTCTGTACCTGATCCAGTAGACGATTACACTCCCTCAGACTGTTCAGTAATCTTGGATCAGGGCAGAGTGTTATCACTTGGGGTTGGTCAGCTGCCTGCTTCATTACTTTGCGCCAAATTCTGTCCATAGTGGAGTATCGTTTGCTTTCGACCGGCAGTTGTCGATTAATGTCCTCTGAGCTGAAAATCGGCTCCAAGTAGAGCCACTGTCTTTGGCACATGGTCCATTCATCCAGCACGTCCTGAGTTGTGTGCAGCTTCGCTTCCCACTGGGCTATGCGCTCCTCAAACGGCTTTTTGTACGGCGAAAAATTCATCGCTTGAGTCATCACTACGTGGTCGTCCAACAACTGGTTGACGTCGTCACCAATCTTAATGATACAAGTACCTGTGTCCTTGTAGGGTATCACCTCGAACACGACAGTTTGCCATTCGGAGACCATCTTGTTGAGTGCACTTTCGATGGAGTATTCTTTTCCGGCTACTTCCGCAACCTTGGCAATGGTCTCGATGTGGTCCTGAAAATAGGATGAAATAGGACAGTCGGTTAGAGCCCCCTCTACCCTTTTACCGATTTCAATGCCACGACTGTTCAGAAGGATGGCCCACCGAGGAGAGCGTCTAAGGAGCCACCGGAACATAGGATCAGAGGACATAGCTGCGAGAAATGCAAGTACTCAAGAGCTGGAATCTATTATCTAAGTAGAGCCTTCTGGTCTAAGCTTATTTGAACACAGCTAATCAATAATCGGAAGGCAGTCATTTGCGGCACATTGGGAACCAGCATTATTCTAAGTAGAAGGTTTGACTAGCTGTTATTCATTGAGAATTGCGTTACGAGACTTCCACCGTAGCCAAGTTTTGTTCGGGTTCTCAGCATTATGTTCAACTCCACCTAGATTCTGCTATCTGGGTAATAAATATTCTGGGTGAATGACCGTCTCGTCTATTCGGGGCGGTGAGGTGCTCGGGACTGTGATCCAAACAGGGGGTGGCCTGTCCTGTGCATGCCAGTGACGTGTAGGAACTAAAGTGAGGGAACCGTGACTCACCACACATACTTAGTTGCACCGGATACTGGCCCACAGGTTTGACAAGTGATAACCAAGCTAGTTTCTTAGAACAACAGGTTCCACTGAATAGGTTGCTTTGGCTCGGACACGTGCTACGTATGCCTGGTCACCGCTTACCTAGAAGGACATTGTTCAGTATGTCAGATGTTGGGTGGCGCAAGGCTCGAGGTGGAAGAAGTTGACTTCGCAGCGCGAAATGAAGCCACTGACGACCAAACTGGGTGCCGTTGGTCCGTCTCGTCTCCCGGGTTGGAGTCCACGTGACTCGCTTCGTGCTTGGCTCGAGACTTCACAGGACACGGCTCGCATTAGACACCAGTGGCGCGTCTGCTGCCGTCTCCTAATCGGATTGACTGTTTAACGTGTGTTTGGTGCTGAGTTATCTGCGTAGTAATGGTTAATTATGACGCGGGATAGTGAAAGCCGCAAGGAAGCTGTATCACTGATGCCGCTTGGTCTTTGCGTGGTAGCCAGCAGTTTGTGGCGGCATGTTGTTACCACAAGCCAAAGGCGTCTTGACCCTGATTGTTTGCTTAGGGCATTAAGGTTTTCAGGTAAGTCCGCCTTCTCTCCCACTTATCATTCTTCATTCCATAGATCATCCTGGTTGTGTGGCAGAGAAATATCAGTTCAAATGGCTGATGTACTGCTGTGATTGATGTCGATATTGACAAGATTGCCTCCAGGCTATCGTTAAGTTAAAGAAGCGCACATCCCTGACGAACCTCGAGAGAGGAAATAGCTGTCGACTGCCCTTATGGATGTTGTTAGCCCTTTGGCTGAGTTTGTTTGTGGTAAATTCGATCTGAACCACTTAACTATTTAAAAATTTACGAGGGTCAAGTGACCGCAAGTCTGCCATGTGTGTAGGAGTCAACATCAGTATGGGTGCTGGTGTGCAGCCAATCCGCACCACTGCGCCATTACAACCTTGTGGAAAATGATACCATTGTATGTTGGACTTACGGCCTGAAAAAACATGCAAACACAGTGGAACCTTCGAAGTTGAGCACATCTATATCTTGGCCACCTCACTAGGTTGATCGATTATTTTTTCGTTGCTTGAGGGTTCACCATCTAGACTTAATGGACCCAGACCACAGTATGTTGACCCCCTCTCCATGTTCGCTACTTTGTTTCAATCTCTTGCGTGGTCAGTTTAAGGAGTTTTCACTGCACTTCCTGCATGTATGGAATGGTGGAGAAATGACACCGGTTAATTGCACTGGACATTTCAATGAAATTGGCAACCGGATCTCCCACTAGTGATGTTCCCACTTGTCATTTTCGCGCGCCTTCCCGCGTAACCAGAACTCAGGCAGCTTCCAACCGACACCCAAGGGTTCGATTAGCCTACCTCCTATATTCCCTTATGTTAGACTAAGGCGGCCATGTAGCATTGAAGGATACGCTAATCGCTGGAATAAGAATTATGACAACCGCAAATGCCTTCGAAGCACTCACCTGGAGGCGCATTTCCAGACATTTTGCAAAAGTGAGCGTTGACTTTGGCACAATACTCACACCCAACATTTCACTCAACTCGTCCCAATGGCGTTTGCGCATACCTGGGTTGCGCAGGCCCTGAATGAGCGGAACGAAAGGCTTGAATTCTTCGATTGCCATTTTGATTTGATTAGCCACTTCCTGCACTCCCGGAAGTTCATGGAAGATACGAACAGACTTATGCATCGTCTTGTAACTCTCTTGTATCTGCTTCTCCACCTGTTCTGCGTCAATCGAGGTCAGGGGATCATTCATCACGGCTTCCTGCGTCTTCAGCCAGTCTGCCACACTGAGCCACAAGTTCTTGAAGGGTTCAAAATCCTTCAGTAGGCGTGGAATTTTGTCATACTGAAATGGGCCCATTGACAGGTACATGGTATAAACAGGCAAGTTTTGGTACTGAAGTGGAAATATGCCTTGGAACGAAATCAAGCACAACAGCGGTTTAGAACATTGGTGTCCCCTGGCTGTTTGCGGTGGATTCGGAAGCTGGAGACAACAGTTTATTCTAAGATCCAAGATCATCTTGATTCTAGCTTTATAAGTTAGGGGCAATTTTAGGCATTCTCAAAATCAACTACTGAGTCACATGTTTGACTAAGAGATCCGAGCGAATGTACTCTCCGCTGTGAATCGTGCTAGTCTAACATGTTGAACCGTCAGATCACGCGATTCCACTGCACTGTCAAGTGGACACGGTTGCTGCTTGTAACTCCAGTATAAATTTACAACACACTTGTCAGATCTAACCAATGAAAAAGGAGGGATGGATCGATATCGGTCGCATCCGGTTCAAGCGTTCGTTAATCTGATTAAATAGAGAGTGGTCAGAGTTCTCGCAAAATTTGCTTTGGGATGCTAAACAGTCCAGTCGGAAATGACGATTTGCATTGCATGGAAGGACATTAGGCGACATCACTCTTGCTGTGTTTTAATCAAGGCATAAATAGAGTCGCAAATTTAACACTTCATGGGAGATTTCATGTAAATTCAATCTAGTTATCTGGGTATAATATAGCCTAAACTTTAGCTAACTACTTTGAGGCTGTCAACTTAACGAACCTAGCCCATAAGAGAGTGTAGAGCTTCGCAGGTCAGGAGAAAACAAGCAATATTTTCGCAAGTCGGTTTGTTGTCCCAACGTGAGCCTACTATGCACTTGGTGGAAAGACGGATTACGTGATTTGTAACAAATGAAAAATATACCGTGACTGACATTAGTACTTGGCAATCCGAATAGCCTCTCCCTATTGTTGTAAGTTCCAGCCAGTGCCTGAGCGTCCAGAAGCTGTTTGTAGATGCGTCGCACTTCGTTGGCCACCTCCTGCGCCTTGCTGATTTCCGTGTATGATGCCATGGATGACACCATCATCTGGAACCGAAAAACGGCAGCGTATTTCATCATAGACACTAAAATGTTACTTGCAAGCATGCATCAAACATGACTGTATGGGGGTATAGTGGCTGCCTGTTGGTTCCCAACACAGTCCGGTTGTTGACACCAGTATGATGACCTTGATACCTAAGAGTTGTTGTTTTGCATTTAAGCATATCACACGCATCATGTACGGACGAAAGCTATGCGTGACCCTCCAATGCTCAGTACTGTCCGAACTTAAGGATCTGGTAGTGAGCGTTCCAACAATGAATAAATTTGAGACATCAGCACCTATGTAGCCGATGCAAAAATGTTACGGTGAGAGCTGTCTCACAGCATGGCCGCGAGGCTTAGCCTGTTCCCGAAAAAATTGTTTAGACAATGTTTAATTCTGATCACCGCTGCCTTCGGTGCATTGCTGGTGTAAGGTGACAACATTAGTAATGACGAAGTTCTCCGAAGAATTTTCAGATCAGACTGACTCGACCGCTGAGCTGAGTAATTTCGCTGCGCAAGCTACGGTGCATTGGGTGGGTGCTTCACATGCTAGGTCAGCGTTTGGTTCACAGTTGCAGTCGGCTGGAAGCGAAAGCAAAATGAATAACGAATGGCCTAGGCCCAAATTATGAAAGAGTTAACACAAAGTTGGCCGTGGTCGGGCGCTTTCGTCACACGGGCTGAGGGCGCAAGGAAAAGGAGCACGTTCGTCTGGAAATTTCTTCGGACATGGCAAGACCTCGCACTCGATGGTAGACATGTGGTATAGATAAGATTTTCATTTTAAATGAGAAACTTCGCAAAACCCTTTGGTCATTTTGTAAACCAATGGACGTTTTGCGAATCACTTTGGATGACTTGCAAAACACTTTGGACGCTTTGCAAACCATTTTGCACGTATTGCAAAATAGTGTACATTTTGCAAACCACTTTGGGCACATTGCATGTCTAGCAGAAAATCAACCATTCGCTAGCAAGAAATGAGGAGTAAGGCAACTAGAGGATTTTCGGACTAAATTGTAGTCATGCTAATGCAACCGAAATGTGTAAGTTGCGGGTGCCCCTGCAGCACCTACTCTTGATCATGAACCTTGCCCAATAATGGGGACTAAGTATCTAATCTCTCACCATCGGTCTCTGCGTGGTTTATATGCTTCTGACTTTACATATGGACCTGTGTAGCTATGTGACTATTGGGAAATCAAACCCCATAGTTTATTATATCTCAAACAAGTGTTACCTAGCTTTAAAGGGTCATTATGAAGCACGCGTCTTGTGAATGGATTGCGATGCGCAATCTCAATGCGGACCGCGTTTCCCACTGAACTAAACCCTGGCCACTTCGATCATGGACCTTAACTGATGAAGCAGATAGGCGGCGACCCATTAATCCCATGTTACTCTATGGGCGTTCGCATGTTTTGTGTGTGGGGGGCGAGCATATGCAGCTACTGGGTTATTGGAACAGTGAGGGCTATCATGACTCCGCCAAATCCACTCTAGCTTTACTGGTCTACTGCTGCAGTTTGTTGGCGAGGACAAGGGAGTAAGGCGATTAGACAATGTTCAGGCTAGATTGTGGTCACTAAAACGTAGCAGAAATATGCAAGCAGTGGGCGATGGTCGTTGGTCGCTTATTTTGGTTGTTTCGTGCAGCACAAGCCTAGAAAAGTAGTGATGGGTTTGGCAGAGTCATGACAGCGCATATTGTTCCAATAATCCAGTAGCTGCATAGGCTCACCCCCAAACACACAAACTACGCGAAAGCCCATAGAGTGACGGAGGACTACTGTGTCATCACCTATCCGATACATCAGCTACGGTCCCAGTGATCGAATTGGCCAAGGTTTACTTCATTGGGAATCGCCGTCCACATTGAGATTGCACATCGCAATCCAATCACAAAACGTGTGGTTCACAATGACCCTTCAAAGCTAGGTAACACTTATGAAGTACATGTTGTGTGGATGGATTGCGACGCGCAATCTCAATGTTGACCGCGATTCCCATTGAGGTGAATCTTGGTCTTGCGATCACGAGGACCGTAGCTGATGCAAATAGAAACTGGGTGTTGTCCGCCCGAAAACACTGCATTACTATTGACGCGTTTCGATGTGATTACACCTCATCAGATGGAGTTAGCGGGCATCGAATCCGGGACCATTGGGATGTTAGTTGTGACCGCTACCCTTAAGCCACCGGGTCACGACGGGTAACGCTTGGCACAACGGTTTAATGAACGATGTTGAGGGTCATTGTGAAGCACACGTTTTGTGATTGGATTGCGATGTGCAATCTCAATATGGACGGCGATTCCCAATGAAGTAAATCTTGGCCAATTCGATCACTGGGACCGTAGCTGATGTATCGGATAGGTGATGACACAGTAGTCCTCCGTCACTCTATGGGCTTTCGCGTAGTTTGTGTGTTTGGGGGTGAGCCTATGCAGCTACTGGATTATTGGAACAATATGCGCTGTCATGACTCTGCCAAACCCATCACTACTTTTCTAGGCTTGTGCTGCACGAAACAACCAAAATAAGCGACCAACGACCATCGCCCACTGCTTGCATATTTCTGCTACGTTTTAGTGACCACAATCTAGCCTGAACATTGTCTAATCGCCTTACTCCCTTGTCCTCGCCAACAAACTGCAGCAGTAGACCAGTAAAGCTAGAGTGGATTTGGCGGAGTCATGATAGCCCTCACTGTTCCAATAACCGAGTAGCTGCATATGCTCGCCCCCACACACAAAACATGCGAACGCCCATAGAGTAACATGGGATTAATGGGTCGCCGCCTATCTGCTTCATCAGTTAAGGTCCATGATCGAAGTGGCCAGGGTTTAGTTCAGTGGGAAACGCGGTCCGCATTGAGATTGCGCATCGCAATCCATTCACAAGACGCGTGCTTCATAATGACCCTTTAAAGCTAGGTAACACTTGTTTGAGATATAATAAACTATGGGGTTTGATTTCCCAATAGTCACATAGCTACACAGGTCCATATGTAAAGTCAGAAGCATATAAACCACGCAGAGACCGATGGTGAGAGATTAGATACTTAGTCCCCATTATTGGGCAAGGTTCATGATCAAGAGTAGGTGCTGCAGGGGCACCCGCAACTTACACATTTCGGTTGCATTAGCATGACTACAATTTAGTCCGAAAATCCTCTAGTTGCCTTACTCCTCATTTCTTGCTAGCGAATGGTTGATTTCCCGCTAGACATGCAATGTGCCCAAGTGATTGGTAAAATGTTCAGCGGGATTTTCAAAACGTCCCGTTTACTTTATACATATATATATATACATATATATATATATATATATATACATATATATGGTTGGCGGCATCCAGTTTCGGATTTGCCTGTCACTGTGGGAAGCCACAGGACGCCTGCGCCTACAGAGGGACCATGGATGGCTTGCGCTGCACCACCCACAGCTCCAACCACATAACACATATCCAGTGTAAACCCGAAGGAATAAGACCGGGAGGCATGTAGATGGGAGCCACGTTTCATCAACTGAGCCAGCCCACACTCCTTCACAGGCAAACACAAGCACGTTGTATTTGGGGAATCAAGCGCACACAAGGCGGTGGCTGGACCGTAGTCCGCTCCACACTGAGTGCATGGAACCGCTCTTTGAGCCTAGCACGGCCAAAAGAACCGTGCACCCCGTCCCCTCCAGCAACGACCAACTGTCTCCTGGAGCCAGTATGAACGATGTAGTGGGTAATAGACAGGTAAGGCACCTTGTCAACATACACATCAAGCGCAACCATACCAGGGATATCAAACAACAGCCATTCAATTTAAACGACAAGCTGAAATAAAATAAATCCAATAATGCATACAGATACGGTGGCATAACTCTTCGCTAAATTACCATATGAAGTAAGTTGGTCAGCAACAAATCCGTGATAAGTAAGAAATGTCCACAAGTTACTTAAAATGCTACAAACGCAACAAAATTACCTAAGATAAGCGCAATTAGTGTAAGCAACGTGGCCAGTTAATAAAACATTATTCAGGGAGGCAGAACAAACCAAATAAAGCGGAATGAAATTTAGCCAGCTTAAAAGACCTAGTTTAAGTGTAAGTTGGTTTAGCCCAACTGCGGTGAAGAAGCATCAAGAATGCAACATCAGCCTCAGCATGGGGCACATATATATATATATATATATATATATATATATATATATATATATATATATATATGCCGTCATTGTACACGTCAGCTGGAGGTGGAAAACACCTCAGCTATTGTGCCGCAATACCAAAGGCAAGAAAAGGGAAACAAACTGTGGCACACCGGCTGAATCCCCAGTAACGGATGGACATCGTTCCGGAGAGCTAACAGCTGGCTATCGTGCCGTAAAATGTGAGTCATATAATGCCTAACGGTTTAGATCGTGATTGGAGTGGGATGCTAAGCAGGAGGGGGATGGATAAAGGAACTCACAACACAAACGCGATTGAGGCCGGCCCCTAGCCATATCAGCAAGTGTGTCCAATCAAACGTGTTCATCGTCCTTAAGACCCCAGCCAGGCAGTCGGGATGCACCAACCGACGCCAACTTCGAAGTGAGGGTTTTCATTTCTCTCGACCAAGTCATCACTTGGCCTCCCCTCCTCCTCTTCCAACCGCACCCACAACGCGCAAACAATGCACGTCGCGGAAGCGGTGTGCTGGCATGCGCAACACGTGGCCCAGCCATCGGAGCCTGGTGCGTGATATAATGGTGCTGAGCGGTTCACTCGCACTTCCTGCACCAAATACGCGACGTCGAACACGCTCATTGCTCGCGCGGTGTTCTTACCAGACATGAGCTAAGCTGCGAAGGCAGCGATGATCGAATATGACGAGCCTCTTTATGTCTGTCGACCTGATGGGCCAGGTTTCACAACCATATAGGAGAGTTGAACGGACGGCTGCGTTATAGACTCTGCCTTAGAGGGCGAGAGTACTGTCGCCTCTTCGCCACAGGTGG